TGAGCTTAGGCGTGACGAGAAGAGCCGATGAAAGGATCGTGAGTGTTGTAATGATAGAGACGGGAGAAATCACATAGGAAAAACTGGAAGGTGCTGCCTCCATAGCGTATCGATAGACGACAGGAACAAGAAAATAAACCTGTTCAAGCTGTTTTGGAAATTGAAAATTAGAACAAAGGAGTGGCGATTTTATTAATGAACCAATGCATGGATTTTGTTTACCAACAGCGGCAAGAGTAAGTGAGCATGCGCAGAAACACGTTGTTTCTGTATTCTGCTGCTTTGCTGTGTCCATTTTGTCTCTTTCCCCTGAGATTATATCATGTAAGTTTAGCCTCCATCTAGCCTTAAAACATGAAGAAAGGCTACCTTTTGTTAGATATAAGGACATATTACCTCTCTATCTTCTTTATTTAGTGAGGAATCCGTCAAGATGGCGGCTGGGTAAGCTGCTTTTGTAAACTAAGCGTGCATGGATTTCCTTTTTTATTTTGTAGAGATGATTCTTCTCAGGGCATGAAGCTCAAGGAAGCGATGAAGGAAGTACTCAAAGAGTCTCTGAAGCATGATGGGTTGGCAAGAGGTCTACGTGAAGCTGTAAAGGCATTGGACAAGTGAGGATTCCATCCCATTATATTTGACAATATATTCTGTACAGGCTATTTTTAAGAAAATTTTAATTTTTATATTTTTTTCTGAGGCACATGCATGTTGCTAATAATATTTTAGCTGATTTTGATTAAATTTAGATATTATTACAAATTTTTTAAAGTTTTTCTAAAATGTGGCTCTAGTCCCTGTACTCATTACAGGGTCATTGGCCAAATTTTGCTGAAATGATTAGGAGAGAATTTTATAATTTTTTCTGATACATATTAATGTTCTTATGTTATGTAGCAAGTTTGAACTAATTTTGATCAAAGTTGGATTTTTTAATGAATTTTTAAAGTTGCTCCAAAATCTGGCCAAAGTCCCTGTACTGTAGTACAGGGATTTTTGTCAAATTTCATCAAAAATGAAAAGTAGAGAATTCTCCATTTTTATAACTTTTTTCTGATACATATACATGTACTTATGTTGTGTAGCAAATTTAAACTGATTCCAATCAAGTTTGGATTTTTTACGAATTTTAAAAGTTGGTTCAAAATTGGGCCAAAGTCCCTGTACTATAGTACAGGGATTTTGATCAAATTTCATCAAAAATGAAAAGTTCAGAATTCTCCATTTTTATAACTTTTTCTGATACAAATACATGTACTTATGTTGTGTAGCGAGTTTAAACTGATTCTAATCAAGTTTGGATTTTTTACGAATTTTAAAAGTTTGTTCAAAATCGGGCCAAAGTCCCTGTACTATATATAGTACAGGGATTTTGGTCAAATTTCATCAAAAACGAAAAGTTCAGAATTCTCCATTTTTATAACTTTTCCTGATACATATACATATACTTATGTTGTGTAGCAAGTTTAAACTGATTCCGATCAAGTTTGGATTTTTTACGAACTTTTGAAGTTACTCAAAAGTCTGTAATGTAGTACAGCCGTACATGAGATTTCATCGAAATTAGCTAGAAGAGAATTCTTGCAGCATTACTGACATTAATTAATCTCTCCCTCCTTTCTATAGACGTCAAGCATATTTGTGTATTGTTGCTAAGAACTGCTCTGAGGCTGGTTATCTTAGGCTGGTCGAAGCACTTTGCAAGGAACACCAAATCAGTCTCCTGAAAGTGAACTAATGCCTACACCTTCTTACCTTGCACTATGTACACAATCCTCTTTCTGTTGTTAGGTAGAGGATAAGGAAGAACTGGGCGAATGGGTTGGTCTTTGCAAGATTGATAAAGATGGCAAGCCAAGGAAGATTGTTAAATGCAGTTGCGTTGTTGTAAAGGTAATTATTATTAATGTACAGCATTGATTGTTGTTACTGGCACAATGATGATAAATAGCTCCCTCTACTGATAATTATTGTGAGGATAAAAAGCTTAACCGGAATCACTATATACACTGATGTGTCATTTTAATTTTACTTGTGTTTAAAATTACAAGTGTTTTGTTGTATTTCTTGTATTTACAAACTTTTCTTTGTTAGGATATTGGTACTGATACTGAAGCTTGGAGTACTGTACAAGAATACATAAAGACCCAAACAGCTGCTGCTGTTTGATTAATTTGAACCACCATTCAATTGAATGCCTATTGCTTTTTGTTTAATATGATTTCTTTAACTTTAATTTGTCATATTGAGTGTCTTACACAGCATCTCTGATACAGGCCACTACCCAAAATCATAGTCTCGTGGTGCCAGACTCTACCCCTTTCTGACATTTGGACGGTGGGGTAGGACCCTGCTGTCCAAATGTCAGAAAGGGGTGGAGTCTAGCACCACGAGACCTACCAAATCAATGATTCAAGCCTGATGTCTATTTTGACACAGCCCTGACTGGCATCAATGTTGAATCATGTCTGTTGCTCTGGCTGAACCAGCAGCATGATTGTATCATACTAGACTCATTGCTTTGTAGGCTGCCCAAAATCCATGATACAGGAATGTGTCAAGGCTGATCCTGATTGATATCAGTCGATTCAAAATAAAATTCTTGGCTGTGTAGTGTGTACTGTGGCTCAACATTCTTGGGGTGTGGCCTATTCATAATGGCAGATACAGGTAATTTTTCTGCTTTGCTAAACTCGTTTTATTTTCTTTTGTAGATACTCCAGAATACACTATACTTAAAGATCACCTCGCTGATATTATTGATTTATTATCTGGGAATGCTCCAGTCATTGCACAATTTTCAAATCACCTCTTTTCATCTAGTCTCATTCCTAAAGAGGTACATCTCAATCCTAAGAGCAGTCCTTTAGATAGAGCCACCCAGCTTATTAATTCAGTTTTTTCTACAATTGGAACTCATTCTAATCCTAGCGATGTCTTTCGTGGGCTTGTTACTTCATTGGAAAAGGTTGGGCTCACTGACATGGCTAAGAAACTTCAACAGAGTCTTGGTAAGTGCAATTGGGTGGTTTCAGAAAATCTAATAAATATGCCAATTTTTAGGAGTGAAAACCCATAGCATTCAGCCACTTATAGCAGCTGTTTCCCAATCACCAACTGTGATTCAACTCAGCTCTAAAGACGAAGTAGCACAAAACATTGACAGTCTCTACGACCAATTTTCTGACCTTGTTACAGATCTTAGGGATCGATTTGAAAAATTAATATCTGAGGGTAAAATAAAACTAATACAAGTTACTCGACAAGCTGCAGAATATTTACGAAGGCCAGTGAAAAGCTTACAAGCAGATGACATTGATGAATTATTTGACTCTCTTCAGCCTCATTATGATTTTCTCAACTGTAGCTTACTTAGAAAGCTCATGAATAAGTTTCTTGTAGGTGATGAATTGCAGTTGTCATTATCGCAATATATTGGTAGCATGGATAATCTTTTAGAATCATCCCAATTGAAGCACATTCGATCAACCATCAAAGACGAGACACCTACAGTGCATGGCCTCGCCCCTATAGCTGCTATGGTGCATGCCCGCACTTCAATAACTGTTTGATTATCAGCATGAAGAGAGTCTGCTCAACACTAGCTTCCTACAGTTGCACTTGCTCTTGAATACCTGCAGAAGTAGCAGCACTGCAGCACATACATGCAAGCAGCTCCAGCCCCTCCCATGCATGTAGATTGAAAGGTGTGGCATTCCATGAGTGGCAGCAAGAAGACCATGTGAGAAAGAAGCTTCACTTTTTCTTTACTAATCAGCAATATATGATAAAACTTGCTGACAAAAGAAGTTGCTG